AAAGCAGGTCAGAGCAGCAAATGTGTTCAGCATGTATGATCTTCCAGGTAAGCTCTCAGCTGCAGGGAAATGGATGATTTTCAGCCTCTTCTGACTTGTGGACCCCTCACCAGTGTCTGCCATGGGGAGCTGTTAGTCAGAGATATCCAACGTGAGGCAGTGGGAGGGAAGTCTGCAGGATGTTTGGAAAAGAGATTCACAGTCACATCATGAGGAGACATCAGTCCTTCATGATGCTGAGGTGTGGTGACGTCTCATTCATGTCCTTTGTGGTCAAATTGCTTGAAGAAGATTTTAACCTATCTGAACTGGAAAGACCCTGTTAAAAAGACTCTGGAGGCAACAGAGGACCTCAGGCTGAATATCAGCTTGTTGTTTTTCCTCAGAGCAAGGCAAAGCCCACAGTGGTGGCTGCTGGGAAGGGCACAGGCAGACACCTGAGGCAGGGGTCCAGTTGTGGGTCTCCTAGTCCAAGAGCGACGTGAAGAAAATGGAGAGGTCAGGACAAGGGCTATCAACATGGTCATGGAGCTGGCATGCACTGTGCTAGAAGTGGAGTGGGCTGGGTTGGGCTGGGGGAAAGGTTCAAGAACAGCCAGTGACTAAGATCATAGAATCAGAGAATCACAGAATATCCTGAGTTGGAAGGGACCCACAGAGACCATCCAACTCCTGGACCTGCCCAGGACACCCCAACAATTCCACCATCTCCCTGATAGAATTGTCCAAATGCTCCTTGAGCTCTGGCAGCCTTGGGGCTGTGACCACTGGCCCACTGCCCTGGGGAGCCTGTTCAGTGCCCAACCACTCTCTGGGGGAAGAACCTTTTCCTAATATCCGGCCTAAACCTCCCTTGAGAGAGCTTCATGATGAAGTTGAACCCTTCTTGATGGTGCCAGGTGATGTGATGGGGTAAAATACCTACCAACTGAAGGTTCATGTTGGACCCTTGAAGAAAATTCCTCCCTGGGAGAATGGCCCTGGGACAATCAAAGGGACTGGGGCATCTCCATCCCTGGAGATTCCCAAGACTCAGTGAGACATTGCCACAGCTGTCCTGATGTGATAGTTGGGCTGGAGCCTCTGGTGACCTGCCAGGACATACATCAGTGTCTGTGATGTGGGATTTTTGAATTTATCCATAGGCTGCTCACTTGCAGGCCCTCCTCTGGCTGGCTGGGGCTGTGATGGGAGCTCATGGATGGGCTCATGCTTGGGTGATGCTCTGCTGTCCCAGGATAGCCTGGGGATTGGGGCGAGCTTTCCTGATTTCCTGAGGTTTTTTTCAGTTTTGTATTATAAGATGATGCTTCTCCAGCCAGTGTCAGACACTGAACTGGCTCCAGCTCCACAGTGCTGAGCGATGCCCAGCAGTGTGCTGGACTCCCATCCCCTCGTGACTGCCATGCTGGGCTGGTTGCAGTCCTGGTTCCAGGTGGTCTCATCCCATCCTGGTGTACACCAGCTGCATCCATCACCTCTGAGATTGCTGTGGTTGACCTTTTGGTCTGGCAGTCTTCTGGGCCACCATCCCCCACTGTGGGCAGAGCTCAGGATAACTCAGTAGTGGGCACCAATGCTCCTGGCTCCCATGGAAGCAGGCAACCCCAGTTCTCATGGCAGGAAACATCCTTCTGCTCAGGAATCTTGGGCAGGTGCCAGGTGGGAGAAGCCCCTGCTTCTCAGCTGCCTCTAGGCTTCTCTCAGCCTTACCCACGGCAGCATCGTGTCTGGGGCTGTGTGGAGACCTCAAATGCTGCCAGGGTTGGCAGCCTCTGGGCAGGAGGTTAGAAAGCTGGGGTCAGAGCCTTGCACCCACTGCCACCCTTAGTGTCCTCCCACATTTGTGTCCCAACACCCTGAGCACCCAGCCAGGGCTGGGCTCTCTTTGCCCAGTGGCCAGAGCTCTCTTGAACCTCAGGTTCTTGACCCAGGCCACACTGGGACGTGTCAGCCACCAGGAGGATGATGGATGCTGGGGGGTGAGGGGCTATTTGTCTTTTCCCCCACGGCTGGTCTCCTGAAGCCAGGTGAGCACACAGCAGCAGCTCCAGCAGGGACCTCCCTTCCCTCCTCTCTGCTGCTTGTTACCACCTGCTTGCACCTGCTGCAGCGTCATCCATCTCCCCACTGCATCCCACTCAGGACCAGGATAGCACCCAAGCAAGACTAGGCAATTCCCAGCACGTTGACAGCCCGTGAGGAGCCTGGGGCAGGGAGAGATGGCACCCAGCTATGGAAGAAATACATTTTTATTAGGAAAGCGCTCTGCAGAGGTGCCAGGCTCTCTCGTACCAAACTAATCCCTCCAACTCTGCTGGATGGGATGCAGGAGCCCGAAGGGTGTCCAGCTCCGTCCATAAGTAGCGCTTCCTCCTGGACAGGAGCAGCCCCAGGGCAGAGGGGAGGGTGGCATCAGTCGAAACCAGCTCGACCCCATGCAGGCACAGCGCAGCTGCGGCAGGACCGGCGATGGAGAGCTGTGCCTGGGGCCCAGGGCACTGGGGCAGGGGGGCTGCTGCCAAGGATGGTTGTGGGCTATCCCTGGCACTGCCCTGGGCACTGAGCAGCAGCTCAGTGAGAGGAGCTCTCCGGTGCTCCGCAAGCCCAACAGACCAGAGTGGGATGCAGGAAGCGAGCGGCTCCATTACTGCAGAATATACCGTGGGCACATGGAGTACAACAAGCGCTGCTTATGCGATCAATAATACTGCTACAAAAAAGGGGGGGGGATATGCCACGCACGGACCCCCCTGGGGTGGCGGCCGGGCCGGCTCCCTGTGGTCCTGCCCTGCGTGGGGAGGGAGGGCGAGCTGCCAGACCCAGGCAGGGAGCAGGAGCAGGGTGTGGATGGAGGGACCAGGTCCTAGAGCGGGGGTGACTAAAGGAAAAAGGAGGATGAGAGTGGTGGAGGGGCATAAATGGAGGCTCAAGACTCTTCCAGCGCCCCCTGCCCAGTCCAGGCTCCCCCATCCACTGGTTGTGCTGGCAATGTCCTCCTTCCCAGTGTGTGGCCAGGCAGTGTGGGGCCGGTGCCTGGCTCCTGGTCACTGTACTGCTTGGGCGGGCACAGCAGCTGCCCTGGGTGGCTCCAGGTTGGCTTCTCGGCTCTTCTTCCTAGGAGGCTTCTTAATGGGGGTTTTCTTGGCTGCCTGCTCGCTGGGGAGAACCTGATCCTGGCCGCTGCCAGCACTTGGCTTCTCCACCCACTTGGGCTCCCCAGCTGCCAGCTCGGGTGCCCCAGGGATCAGTTTTTGCAGGTGGGGAGAGGTGGGCAGCAAGGGTTTGCTGGTCTTCTGGCCGCTGGTGGCCGCTGAGCGCTTGGCTTTCTGTGGAGGGGTGGGCTTCTCCCGCTGGGTGCCCACCCCATTCGCCCGGGTGCCTCCATCCCCCTTGTTGAGGCTCTGAGTCTTTTCCTTCAGCTGGGCAGCCAGCTCGGAGGCCAGCTGGGGATGCAGTGGCTCAGAGCGGGGTTTGCTGGTGCCGGGGCTGCGAGGAGCATCCTTGGCATCCCCGACCCGCCGCTCCGGCTGGAGGGCGCCCATCTTTCGGAAGGCGTTCTGCACTGCCCCATTGATGCTCTCCATCGGCTCTGAGCTGGCTTTGCTCCTCTGTTTGGGCTTGGAGGGTGACTGGGGCTCCCCGGTAAGGCTGGCTTTGCCCTCGGGGACACCAGGCTCTTTTGGTTGCTTCTGCGCTTTCTCCTTGCCCCGCATGCCTCCCTTCTCCTCCACTCTGCCCTGCATGCTGGCTGATGTCTCGCTCGGGCTCCTCTTCCTCTTGGCCAAGCCCTGGCCTTGCTCAGGGCTGCTGGAATGGACAGCTGCTCGGTCTGGGGATTGTCTGGGTGCTGGCAGCGAGTTGGACTGGCCAGAGTTGTACCTGCTGTGGATCCAGGAGACTTTGGGCTTAGTGCTTGGGTCTGGGGGACGGGGCTTGGTCCTTTCCGGGGATGGTGGCTTCCCGGGGCTGCAGTGCTCCCCAGTGGCATCCTCCTCCTCCCTGGACTGCTTGGAGAGGCGGGCGACCCGGGCGTAGAGCGCGGCACCGGCTGAGCCAGAGCCGCAGGAGGAGCGCTCGCTGTCCGAGGACTTGAGCAGGGGGGTCTCACTGCTGTCGGCTGGGAAGGCTCTGACAGAGCCCGTCTCCTTCAGGAATGTGTATTCGCCCGCTTCCTCCCCGCCAGTGGGGGCCACGAGCTTGTCTGTGGGGCTGGCGGGTGTCCCTCTGTCCCTGCTGTCACCCACGCTCTCTGTGGGAAGAGAGCACAGGGATGTCAGGTGGGATGTGCCTGATGAGGGGAAAGATCGAGGTGCTCCTGCAGGACAGCGGGCTCCCCTTGGACTCCCCATGTTCCCACCTCCCAGTCAGGGACCTCCTGGCTCTTAACCCTGGAACAGCAAACGCTGGAGGAGGGAGCTTTGAAACTGCATGGGAGGCAAGACTAACACCTTCATCCCTTCCTGGGGCACGAGGAACCAGGTGACACGGTCCCCACTGTGCATGAGTGACACTTCTTCTTCAAGCAGGCCCCTGGTAATGTCCCCAAAGTCTCCTGGGGATGCACCCCCTGCTCACCTTCATGGGGGACGCAGTACACCGGCCCCTCGTCCGTGGTGTCGAAGGAGGAGAAGGAGCCGCGGGATGACCAGGATGGGGAAGGCTGCTCCACCACAGAGGGTGGCTCGATGAAACTGCAGTTTAGGGTGTTTTCCAGGTCATGGTGGGCCACTGCAAGGGTAAGGAACTGCTGTCAGTGCCTGTTCTGTCAACTACCCCCCTGCCAGCCAGGAGGGTGGGATGCTGCACAGCTCCCCTTGACCACCTTCCTAGTGGTGTTGGGGACAGGGACAGCATCCAAAGCACAGGGACAGCTCTCACTACACCTCCCCACCAGGTCCTCCAGCCAAGTGCCCACAGAAGCCATCAACCAGCAGTGGTGGTGACCAGCATCCCCCATGCTTGATCCATGGGCAGCAGAGCCCACTCAAGCCTCACACCTCCATCTATCCCCCTCTCCATGGAAGGTCTCCCCTGTCCAGACTGAAGATGCACATGACAGAGGGATGAGCCACCCAAAACCCTCGATCCCACAGGACACAGTGAGTGGTCTGGTGGTCACCCATGAACTGTGTAACCTGGCAAACCACCCCACAGAGTCCTGGCTGGCACTGCGGCTATTCCCTTATCAGGGGAAGAAATTAGCTGCCAGCTTTTATTCCTCTAATTCCCACATCAGCATCACTGACTGCATTTTCCTTTTCCATCTGCTTCTGCCCAAAGATGCAGAAGGATGATAAAAGGATGCCTGTAGCAGGGGATGCACATCACTCTTTTTTTCTCAACTCTGCCACTTTTTGATCCCTTTGCCAGCTTCTCCCACTCTGAAGCTGAGTAGGAGCAACCCACACTGCTGAGGGGCCACCTGCAGAGAAGCCAAGTGGAATAGACAAACCACCAGAAAAAGAACTCGTTTTTTAAAAAATGAAATAAGGAAGCCGAGCAGTTAAAGTTGTCTGGGCTGGAGGGATGGTTTTTTTTCAGTTTTACAATTTCTAAGGCTTTTTGCTGGATAAGTTAATGTTCCAACACACCCCATAGGGCTTCCCCAGATGCTCACAGCTTCAGCATTGCCCTTGGGTACCCACAGGACCGTGGCAGCAACCAGCTGGCAGGAAGGACCCTCCCAGAAAGCCAGGCAGCATCAGATGCACTTGTCCCAGTCCCCATAACGCTGGCTTTTGTCCCCTGGGGCACTGGAACAGGCTCCCCAGGGCAGTGGTCACAGCCCTGAGGCTGCCAGAACTAAAGAAGCATTTGGACGATGCTCTCATCACATGGTGGGATTTTTGGAGTTGTCCTGTGCAGGGCCAGGAGCTGGACCCAATAACATTCCATGCTATGGGATGAAAACCCTGTGCAAAGACAGGATCCCAGCTGTACATGGATATTTCCAGGTATTTGTAAGCTCTGCCTGCACATCCCATCTGCATCCCAATCCCAACTGTACCCCAGTCATGCTGCAATTTCCTGCTCAGACTGTTTGATTCTTGCACCACATCCCTGTTTTACAATAAAATTCAGTGTTATTGGGATGCCCTCTGGAATGCTTATCCATTATTAGGGAATCTGGCCTCAGACGTGCAGGGCTGTTAAAATGATGGCAGTGCTGCACGTTTGTCCCTGCATAGTTTGGCTTCTTGGATTAAGGTAAAAAAAATCCAAGCAGAGATACTTAAAGAGCAAACAACCCAGAGAGGGGGAAGCAGCAGTTCCAAAATGGCTTTCCTTAAAATAAAAACCAAAAAGAGAAAATTAAAAGCAGCCAGCTGGAAGCAGATGAAGGGAGATGCTTCCTGAGAGGAGGTGTGACAAGTGACTGGGACTTACAGCCACGAGGCATCTCTGGGACTCCAGTGAGACCCAGGATACAGCCAAAGGATGAAATGAGGATGTGCAGCTCTCCTAGAGATTTTGGGAGGTTCGGGGACTCCTGCATGGTCCCCAGGGATTTACCTCCCCTGGGCAAAATATCATGGGCTGGTGGGGCTGGGAGAAGTGTGGACACTTCCTGCATATTCTCTCCTGCCACTGCTCCCTGAAATCTCCTGGAGCCAAAGCATCAGGGTGCCAACCCCAACCTTGCTTGCACAGTGGCCAACTGATTTCCAGACCAGGATGGAGCAGCAAGGAGCTGCAGAAGGACCATGAGAGGTCGATCCCAGTCAGCCCAAGCTCCTCATGATCAGCATCACCCTCAGGGCTAGTTGATCTTTGCTGTTTGGTGGCTTCTAGGTGGGGCCACACGCTGATGTGGCAGCGTAGTTACCAGGATCAGAAATGCAGCTGCCACAGGCAACTCAGCAGGTCCTCATCACCCAGGGAATCCTCAGATCCAGCAGGGACTGGAGGCATTACCAGACCACGCACCAATGGGACTGGGAGCTGCTGGAACCCACGAGGGCTCTGCTGTGCTGGATAACACAAGGCAAGCTTTGACCAAAGCCTTTCCCTCCAGTGAAATAGCAACCTTCAACCCCGTAACAGACTCCAGGAACAGCCCCAGCCCTGCTGGGACCTGAGACCATCCTGAGCATCCTTAGCTTTTCCCGAGGCTGCTGCTGCCCTGTGTATGCAGACTGGCTGGACAGGTGCCATGGACTGCCCATGGACTGGTATGGGGAAAGCACAGGCAGCCCCTCGTGAGTCCCCCTTGCCCTCACCACACACAGGCACCCTCTGTCCTCCCCAAGCTCTTCCCGGCCCCTTCCACAAACAGGGCCTCTATGATCCTCTGTTATCCTTGCAGCAGGAATGTTTCTTGGGCCCCAGCACACCCTGCTCCAGTCAGGGCTTTGCTGTGCCCCATGTGGTGAGGGCTCATCCCCCCAGCTTTGATGCTGAAGCTCCAGCATGATGTGCAGGGATTGGGGTCACCTCTGTGTCCCATCTGGGATAGGGAATTTGGCCTCACGCTGAGCCACTGTGCACTAGTATGTGACTGCTCGGGGCATTCCACCAGCATGGCATGCCCAGGAGGGTTCTGGGCTCAGGGAGGGAGTTTGGGGCTGAACCCTATCCAGCACAAGGTGGGGAGTGCTGTCTTCACCCCAAGTTTATTCAATGGGTTGCAGCATATCCCCATCTCCTCATGCTGCAGAGGTGCAAGGAGGGTTCAAAGCATGCAGGGGACAGCATCTCCCAGCTGCCTGGATGCAGGGAGTCCCCAGCAGCCCTGACAGCACCAGGTCAGGGGCTTTGCCAGGTGCAAGCAGTCCCCTACAAGCCCACTCTGTGCACAGTGTGGGGAGCTCAACCCAAGTCTCTGCCCACAATTCAGCTGCACACAACAGCAAGGTGGGCGTCCTCCTTGGGTGCTCTGGCTCCAGACAAAGCTGGGGCAGGGTTAGCTCAGGACCAAAGGTGTAAAGGAGGCATTTTGCTAAGTGACAGGGACCATTCCTCTCCACAGAAACCTCAGGAGAGTAAACCCAAAATCCAAAACTTCTAAGCAGAGCTCCAGCACTAGGTACCATCCTTGACTCACAAGGCAAAATTATGTGCTTGGAGATCCAGAGGCTGTAGTCAGAAAGGGTTGAGCCCTGTGAGCCAGGCAGCTTGCACCAACCATGGTAACACTTCTGAGGACACACATGTCCCTGTCACTGCTCTGCTGTGCTCACCACCCTGGTTTGGGGCTCAAAAGGAGCCACGCACACTGCCCTGACTGGAATAAAACCCCTGGGGCCTGCCTGGCTCTCTGCTCCCTCCCCAGCTCCAGCACCTTACCCACGACCTTGGGCAGCTTCTGGCGGCGCAGAGGGATGCGGGGCAGCTTCATCCCAATCCGGCTGAAGCGTCCACACAAGCATCTCGGCGGCTTCTTGGCTGCTGCTGGGTCCTGGCTGGAGCTGCAAGAGAAGGTAATGGCACTGTCAGAGAGGCACCATTCCCCTCCCTGCGGACAGACTTCACGGGTGACAGAGAGAGGCAGGAGCTCAGGGATGCTGCAAACACAAAAAGGGTTTTGGAACGATAATAGGGTGGATCAAAGCAGGGGCATGCCCAGGGCACAGGGAGTTGGGGACCCACTCAGGCTGCTGCCATCCCTGGGCACCAGTATGCACTGCACCAGGAAGCAGAATAGTGCCAGGGGATGTTGGCAAGATCAGAACCAGCCATGGCCATTGGCAGTACAGCCCCAAAACATCCATAACACATGGTCAAGACTCTGAATCTTTTAAAAAAATAAAAATCCAAAGCCAAACACGTGGCTTCTCTTTATTTGCTCTCTGGTTTGGAAGCCTCCTGGGACTGAGTTTTCAAGCAATTTTCTGCAGCCGTAGGAGTGAGTAGCTTTGCATGTGGATGGAAGGGAACCTTCACAGTGCCCACTGCTGCTGTGGCCTCTTGGGATGCTCTGGTAAGGGGCTGCACTGGGACAGTACCACGGGTCACCCAGAGGTTTGAGGACACTGTGGTCTGGGAGAGATGAAACTGGAGCCATTCCTCCTCTCCCAGTGCCATATCCCACCCCACTGGGCTGCCTTTGGGCTTTATCTGCAGGATAATTTCCTGCAGCCCCCAGGCTCTCCAAACCAGCTATGCTGGGCTGGGACTGAGCTGGCAGGGCTGCAAGGGGAGGCTTCTGGAAAATTCCTGTGTAGTGGCTGGTGGCACGAGGGGGTTTTCTCTGCAGCTGGAGGAGCTCCAACAGTCCTCTCGTCCCTTACTGAGCAGTGGAAGCACTTCTCCTTGCTGTGGGTCTGTCCCCATCCCTGTCTTCACGGCAGGATGTTACCTGGTGCTGCGAAAACCCTGACCTTGCTTCAAGAACTCACTCTCCCAGCCCCGACCATCCTCATGCAGAACAGTCAGCATCCCCCCATTCCCTAGGTCTCATTCCATGGCCCGGGGGTTTGTTCTGGGGGTTTTGGCCACGTCTTAATGCCCTTGTTGTATTTCAGGATTCCCTTTGCAGATCAGTTCCAACTCCCTGGAGACTGGAGGAGACTTGGTGGGTCTCCATAAAGTGCTGGTCCACAAGAGGGAAACAAAGTCAGGGAGAGCAGAAGGGGGGTCCCCAGGCCCTCAACCTGAGCCCCTCTATCAGCCCCAATGACGCAGCAGGACCTGCTCAGACCTCAGGGACCAGCATGGTGCCACGTGGGCAGCACTGCTCTGTCTCAGTTTCCCCACAGCACCGCTGTCCCAGCATGGTCCTTACATCCTCCTGTCAATCCCAGACCCCACTGGTCTCCCACATTCCCAGCCTGGTGAGATCCCTCCTGACACTCACCTGCAGGCTTCATCCTTCTTGCGGCAGACACAGCAGCAGCAGAGCAGAGAGAGCAGGAGGATGAGCAGCAGCGCCAGGAGGGCCCCTGCCCCGATCACCCCCATCCTCTGGTTGGCCTCTGCAAGGCAGACCTGTGGCTCAGCCTGGTGCCAGCCCCGTGGCAGTGGCAGCCCTGGCCGTGCCCTCCAGCACTCACCCATGTGACAGGCGCCTGT